GAAATGACTTGAGACTCGACTTGGATTGAAAGTTCAGACTTGCCCCGGTACTTGGGGTAAAGGACATGAATATATCACTGGTTTTTATTAACATCGGACTTCATATGTATTTCCAGCTGCTGAGGCCTAGAGACATATGAAGAGATACTTTATGTTGGGTTAAGATCAACATGTTCGAGTTCACTATGCCATGCGATAACTGAGGGAGGGAGTTCTGGCTGGCCACTTCGCTGTTCCGAATGCAGGCGTAAATAGTTCTTTGATCTCGTCTGCAGGACTTTTCTTCTTCCGTAAAGGCCACTGTGTGCTTCCGCATGCTAACGATTCTCCAAACCTTACCTTACAAAAGTGGTGGTGAACCCATGACACGCGTGCCACAGCGGGCACGCAGAGCCATCTCTGTCTGTCTCTAAAAAGTTCACCATCACTGGGTTAGGGTTAGAAAAACGAGGTGTCATGGCACAATTTTGATGGTTGGAATGTGTTTAGAAAGGGTAGAAATGATGAGCTGTGCAGAAAAAGCTACTCAAGGATGGCTTTTTCGAAATCGCATTATTTTCAATGGTATTTTAGCCCTATATTAGGGTTAGAGGAGCGCACCAGAGTAGGGTTAGGGCAGTTTTGGCATGCGTGCCACAGCGGAGACACACTGCCCTCTCTGTTGGCACGCAAGCCAAGTCGCCCCAGCAGATGAGCATCGGATAACAGCGCACACAGGGGCCATGCGCCTGCTCAGAAAGGAGTGGCGGCGCCAGGCGATGAAGTCACGAGCCGCGGCTCATCCAAACTGTCCCATGGCTGGTCAGTGCGCTGCCAAGGATATATATATATTTGCGTGGACCAGCTGTGAGGTGTTTTTTTCTAGACTAAAACCTCAGTGTTCAGGTTTGATTGCAGTGTTGGCACTTTGCAATAAATAAGTGAGTTTTGGGTTGCAGTTTGGGCACTCGGTCTCTAAAAGGTTCGCCATCACTGCCTTACAACCTTAGTAAAGTTAGTTTTACATGTGTAACTGCTTGCAAAAAATACATTGTCTCCTTGCAAAAGAGCAGCACAGGTGGTTGTAGATTTGTATCTACTTTGATTATTAAATGCACTTAGACTGTGGTCTACAGCTTTAGCCATCTTATCTGAAAAAGGTGATTATTGAAAAAGTATGGAGAAGGGCAATGAAAACGATCAGGGGGCTGGAGAATCTCGCTTGTGAGGAGCAGCAGCTGCAACAACTGGGATCGTTTAGCTTACCAAAAACCAAGCAAGGGGAGACTAGAGAGAAGAATTTATGCGTGAACCACGGGTCATCCCATGGCGGAAGATTCAGAGCAGGTTAAGCGCTTTGTTGCACAGCCCAGAATTAAACTATAGATTCTAGTGCCACAGGAAGTAGTGATGGCCACCAGTTTGGATGGCTTTCAAAGAAGACTGGTCAAATTCGTGGAGGAGATTAGCAATGGCTATTAGTCTTAGTGGCTATGTGCCACTTCTGCTATCGGAGGCCTTATACCCACATATACCATATATACGGCTTGGGACCTGGTTATCTAAAGGAGCGCCTGCATCCATATTTGCCCTCCCGCCCCTTGAGATCGGCGGCAGAGGCCCTTCTCCGGAACCCTCCGTGAAGGATATTAGGAGGGTGAGTACCCAGAGGAGGGCCTTCTCTGCGGTGGCGCCCCACTTATGGAATGCGCTCCCCAGAGAGGTCCGCCTGGCGCCGTCATTATTTGCTTTTTGGTGCCAGACCAAGACTGTTTTATTTAAACGTTATTTTAATTAATCGTTAATTTATTTATTGCCTGTATGTGTCCAATTTTTGTATATATTTGTATAGTTATTTATTTACTTGTTGGAAGCCGCCCCGAGGCTTATGCGAAGGGGGCGGCATACAAGAATTCCAAATAAATAAATAAATGAAATACCAGTTGCTGAGGAGCTTGGGCAAGTGGAGGTCTTCTCATGCTGCCTGAGGGATCTTGCGGGTAGCTGATGGGCCACTAAGTGGACAGATTACTGGACCAGGTGGACCATTGGCCTGATCCAGTAGGGCATTTCTTATGTGCTTATGTTCTTTTTCTCATGGAATTAATTCTGGTTCAATTGTGCTATTAAGGTTTACTCCGCGAGGACTTGGTTGTGGTGAAATCATGGGGAAACTCTGTCTTTTATCTTTACAAAGAACACAACTTTTGTTTTGGTAAAGACACAACATTAACATGTACTTTTTTTTCTCTCTCCCCGCACTCTTAATAATTTGGATGAAAAGCGACCTGCTCTTCACACATAATGTCAAGTCAGTACAGTAAAGGTGGTAAGAACATTTTGTGTACGATTTATTTATTTAAAGGAAGAATTTGGGAATGAATGTGATGGGCGTATTTCTCACAAGTGTGTATAGAACACCACCGTTCTGCAGAATGTAATCCAACTGTTTCCTTCCACTTTGTGCAAACTTCTTGAGTGCTTTATTTAAGCACTGCATTGGCTCTAGATTAGCAAGAAAATGGTGGGGTGGGGAAAGCACAGCCCTCTCCTGGTATGTGCCACCTCCTCACTAAGTAAGCATTCCAGAACTAGACAGAAGATGACCATTTTTGGTTCAATGGATGTCTTTCCTGCTGTAGCTAACAGTCTTAGCCAGAAATGGCATGAATGGGATTTGCCAGTTTTGCCCTTATCAATACTAGGGAATTGAGACAGACAAGAATTCAAAAGGTTCTGGTGAAAATGGAAGATCACTGTAGCCCCCAGTGAAATGGAAAGACAGGAGGGGGGGAGCACTCAACCTCTGGAACATTGAAAGAGCAGCAAAAATCAACAAATTATAGTAAGCTTGCGCAGAATGACATCCTGGAGATTGGGCTGCACGTTTCCCAGGCATTACTGAGCCATTCCTCTGCTGCAATCTATTACTATGTATTATTGCATTATTTGTGTACTACTAAGCAATAAACTATGTTTTCTGTGATTTCAGAATTCAAGAAGCTGTCCAAAAGAAGATTTGCCTCTCCGGTCGCCAAACCCCAGCATACTTGCTCTGTGAAAAGGGAGCCAGAGCTTCAGTGCAAACAGGAAGATGCCAAGGCAGAAAGGATCCCCACGCTTCTGAGCCATGGAACAAGTGACAAAGTTGCAACCAAACTGAAAAAAACACGGAATGGGCAACATAGCAGGCAGAAAGGGCACACTCCCAGCACAGACAAGGAACCAAGTTGCAAGGAGATTCAGGAAAAGACCAAGGATGTAGGTGAAAATGTAGATTTTGCTCCCTTGAGGGAGGATTTCCAGGTCAAATACAGTGTATGCTTCCTGGGGGGTTCTGGGAGTTGTAGTCAGACACAGTTGGAGGTTGTCGGACTGTGGAAAGCCGTTCTAAATGGAGGAGGGACTCAGAGTGTGTGGGAGTGAGCTTGTTCTGGTTATTCATGGTGAGGGAAAGACACAATGCATGTTTAGTAACTCCCTCACCTTCCTTCCTTCCTGCTTTCCTGACCCGGTCAATACTTGAAAGCGACTTTGCTTGGCTCAGTCTGAGATGCGATGCGTGAGTTCCTTCTGCCTCTGTACATCTAGAGAACCACAGTTGCGTTCTGTGCAAGTGTTGTTATGATAGTGTGCATGATAGGATGTGGGGAACAGTGTCTCAGCAGTTAGTCCTCAAGGTAATCCGGCTCCAACCAACTGGGGTTTTAAAAACCAAGGGCAGAAGTTTTAATCAGAGCCTGGAAACAAAAGGTGCTCCCAGGTGAGGCCCCGTCTCATTCACTTCAAGCTGACACGGGGTTCAGGCCATGCTGTCCTCTGCTTGTGGCTCTCCCATGTTTTCTTACTACTTTCCCATCTTTCCTGTATGGAGGAGGTCCATTAGAAGGAACAGCTGCACAATGCCTTCTTACTGCTAGTGCTGGACGCCTCTGTCTGAAAACATCAGAAGGGACCTCCACTGGTGCGGGGGCGAGACCAGGCTAACATTCACGTATCGTTGGACATCAAATAAGCGTTTGGCTCCTACCTTGCTGGACCAATGGAAGTTTCCAAACTTTCCCATTTGGTCATGCTGTCATTCGTACTTCTGCTGTGTTTGCTTGCCTGCTGACAGGGAGAAGGTTGCCTCACTGCCGCACAATTTGAGGAGCTTGTTCAGAGTGTGCTTCAGAAGCCCTTGCAGGAGTGCATGGATATGTTGATAAAAGGTGAGGCAGATGGGCAGACCAAGAGGGGCCTTACCTGAAACATAGAAATGAGAAGCGAAAAACACCCTGCGGGATTCCACTGAGGAATTACGCCAGTGCCCTCACCTCATTTACAAAATGTCACAGGGACTCCAAACAAATTTGCTTTTTACTTGTACGCCTCCAGTATTTTCCCATTGCTACTTCTGTCCCTCTCCTTATGACAGAAAATCTGTTAAGGGATCAAAGTTGGAATAGCTGCACAATGCCTTCTAATCAGGGGCATTTTTTACTCAATGCCATTGCCATTTGCTACTCATTAATTACAGATAAGTTAGGCAATGTTGTGACCCTCCAGTTTCATTTCTGTGCCTAATAAGCACTTTTGGTGAGGGTTTTGTTATAACATGGGAATGTAGTGTTTAAATCTAGTTTTCAGCACCAACAGAAAGCTATTTCACAGCAATCCCAACTGCTAGTGAGAAAATGTGTAAAAAAGAAAATGGAAATAGGACAGGGCATCTTGGCAGGTGCCACAAAAAGGACCCGGCTGTCCCCCACCTTGCCGACCTCTACTGAACCCATTTACGGGGAGGTAAACCCCATTTAACACAATGGGAATTACTTTTGAGTAGACATGTCCTGGATTGTACAGTTAACCGTATTTTGAGGAATTTCTTTGGAAGTCTGTCACCTTTTAAAGATAACATTTGGGAGTTGACAGTGGTTATGTCACAAGCCAACATCAAATCATTTTCTGTGTTTAAACTTTGTGAACTCTCAGTCGTTTGAGGTTTAGATTGCAAAGCTATTTAAAGCCATTGAGTTTTTATTTCCAGAAAACCCTGAGAAGAGAGCTACTTTGGCTAAACCTACTCAGAAGCAAAGTCTCAGAAGGTGAGTTCCACGACTCTGTTTCTGTGGGGATTGTTGTTCTGACTTGTCACTAGAGGCATCCTCTGCTGTGTTCTGAGAATGCTTCATCAGTTCCTCAAGTAAAGAAAAACAACCAGTTTCTGTGACGTGCATACTATCAGTGTGTGCTTACCACTGTTGCTATGAACCAAAATGACGCATGAGGACAAACCCTAAAAAGCACAAAGCAGAATTTTGGGTAGCAGATGTTTCCAGATCTGCATTTTTTCCTGTGGTGCGGTAACAAAGGCCTACTTTCTTTGCATAACTTACCTGACAGAGATGGTCGTAAGGGAGGTTTATCAAAACTTTTTTCTAGGGAGACAGTTATGCTTTTAGCAGCTGTATAACAAGTAAGAATTCAGCAGGTAAATCTTTTTATAGCAGGCAGATGTAGTGATGGGAACGGCTCACCTGATTAATACCTGAATAATGCTTCTGTGAAATGCATAGGAGTGCAGCCAGAAAAAGGTGTTGACGGATTGAAGACTAAAGAAATAAAAACATTATACTATTTGTATGCTTAGACATGGCAAAAAATGATGAGCTTTATGTGAACTAAGAAAGGAAGGTGGAAATAGTGTGCAACTGTTTTAATAGGGCAGGGGACAAACTCCATTGTCAAAGAGAAAGTGATAAATATGAGAGGTGGGGACAGAATTAAAAAACTTAATCTTAGCATAGTATTGTTCTGAGGATTAATTAACCTAAACTCATATAACAAAGACCTTGTCAGTAGTTTGCGATCACAAGGCGAGGGTGACAACAACTCCCTGATACTCTGTTGAGGGCCTTGTACAATTTATAGGCACAGATGTTTTCTCAAGAAACATTAAAAAGCAACTCGAGCCTTTCACACCTTGTTTGGACCATGTGTCAATGTTGCTCAGTGAAGGACACAATGCAGAAGAAAAGTTAATATTCAGTGTTATCAATATGAGATGTCCATTCTCACTGACAAATCACTGTTGGCAGAAGCTGATCGAAAGCTTAAAAGCTGAGAAAAAGCTCTGAGATTCACTTTCCCGTCAAAATTATTTAGGAAAGTAACACTGCTGCGTGCAGAGACCGAAACAGCACCTTTTAGCCTCAGGGTGGTGCCCAAGCACAGGCAATGAGTATCGCTGGCTTAAGTTGAGCTGCTGCTTCCCAGTCGTTCCAAGACATGCCCCTTAGGACAGCTTCCACCAACTGGTGCTCCTCCGTACTTGCTGGGAATTATGGGAGCTGTAGTCGGCCACAGCTGGAGGGCTCCAGGTTGGTGAAGGCTGTTATATAAGCTAGGGGTTTTGGCAAGTAGGAGGGAATCCTTATCTTGAGGTTTTGTTTCCTCTCCCTTCCTTATCCCACTCTTTGCTAAGTGGAAACTGGGACAGACTATGGTGCTGAGGCCATGACATTCTCTCTTTGCCCTCAAAGACCTGTTCACTTCTGCACTGGGGGATTTTTACAAAGTGGTGGCGGAGGGGTACTCTTATTCACGACTCTGGCATTTTGAAAGCTTCAAAATGAAGGTAAACATGTCTTTTAAAATCTGTAGGGGAGGGAGAGAGAAGCTGCGTGGAAGGCAATTAGAGCAGAGGCAGGGACTTGTAATTGACATATACATGTACACTTCTCTACCTCAGAAGCTGTTTTTCTTAAAATCAACACTGAGACTTCCTTATGTGTGTTTTCTTTGTGCATTCATGTAGCTGGCTCCTGAGCTGGGGCAGAATGAAGGTACCTTATGAATGATGGGAAGTCCAGGGAAACTTTTAGTTAATAGGGTCCCTTTCCTGGGTAGCAGGAGATTGCCGGTGTTATCTGTGCTTCTTTAATCAGAAATAATGGGGAATGTGCTTCGGAATGTCCTCTGATGTACTTAGGAATATGAGCTAGCTTCCCCAGCTTCACAGGGATTAGAAATAGTTCTTTTGTTAAGGCAAATCAAGTGTGGTTCTTAAAAATTGCTCCTGGAAGGCTAATTTCCATCATTCCACCCTACTGCAGTGGGCCTCAATTGTGTATATGTGCTGTTTCTCTCAGAAAGACCTTGGGGGTACATCCAACTCTAGACAATGGGACCTCTGGAAAGGAAAGTGGGGAGAAAAGTGAAGTGATGCTTCCAGAAGCAGAACAGGAGTGTCAGCTCAAAACAGAGAAACACAGCGCACCTTTGGTGCATAAAGGCAGAGAGAAGAGTAAGTCTTTGACGTGTAAATCCTGCGCAAAATACCCTGGGACAAACGTGCGTGCAGTGAAAGAGGCTGTGTAGGGATGCAGCAGCACTCTTCAGGGCAGGCGGGAAGTCCAGCAAGGGCAGGGGCTGCACAGGCTAGCAAGAGGGGCCACCAGCGTTCTGGGGGGCAGAGTGGACGTCCACATTCTTTCCAGCGTTCCAAAACAACTCGCTGCTGTTCCCTGAGAGACAGCTCACCGTTTCCTCCTCCAGCCACCAGCTCTGCTGTCGCCACCCCGCCACTCTCCTGGTGTTTTTATAAAAAGGCAAACACACACACACACACACACACACACACACACACACACACACACACACACACACGCACAAAAGGCTTGTTTTTCTTTGTCTCCTGGCAGATGAGAAACCAGAAGCAGACAATGGAGGGCGTAAGGAAAACCGGAAAGGAGCGCCACAGAAAAAAGTTCAAGGCAACGCCCGAGTCGTCACTGACCAAGAGGAAATGCAGGAGCAGGAGCAGGAGGAGGAGGAGGCAGACGGAGGAAGTGGTAGCAATAAGCTGAACACTCCCTGCTGCTCTGGAAGGGTTTTCGGGATGGTGGACCGTTTATAGGGACGAAAACCGAAGGCCTCAGACAACATCAGCCAGACAAGTGGGGGCTCTTCAGCGGTGGCTTTCCCGTAGCTTTTTAGGCTGTCCAAGGGGAAAAGTCATGGGCTTTTCGTGCTTCCAGACGAGAGTTTCCTTCCACTCTCACCTTGCCCCACTCACAGATTTTTATAGTGGGCTTCAGTCATCTTTGGGCCTGGCTGATCCGGCATGGCTCTTCGGTGGTTGTTACCGCTTTATTTATTTATTTAATCTACATACAGCCCAATAGCCAAAGCTCTCTGGCAGTTCACAAAAAATGCAAATGTTAAATACTTCATAATAAAACATAGTATAACATTTTAAATATACAGAATTTAAATAGCTAAAGCAGCTTGAATAAGATACCGGAACAGGTAAAGACATAGTGCCTGGGAGTAGAGGACTTTGAAGCTGGTGCCAAAAAGTGGGCAGCGTTAGCCAGTGAGCCTTAGTGGGGTAATAGTTCCATAACTGGGGTCGCCCCTGAGAAGGCCTTCTCTCTTACGGCCACCTTCTGGGCCCTCCTCCAGTAATAGGGGAGAATATCTAATGTAGTCTTTTCCCACCAGGCGCCTTCCAGAGATCTCCAGTCAATATGGGCACTTGGGCATTGGGGGTTATAGTTCAATATATGAAGGGTAGGAGGTTGGGGAAGACTGACATACTGCAATATATTCCTAGATGATAGGCAGTCTATCCTAATTTATGTTAAGGTAGTGGGAGAGGCAACTATTATCTTGATTCTAATCAAATAGAGACAAACTTGCTGATAGTACTAGTTCAACAACTTCCTCCTGAAATCTCCCTTTGAATGTATGTTCCTGAATATTGCCATTTTGGATGTCAAACTGCTGTCTATCTGAGGCTGTTTCGCTTATGTATAGAAGATGCATAGATGTCAGTCAACAGAGGAAAAACTTAAAATCTACAGGAGAACACTACCTTTATTAGGACCAAATAATGAGCAAGATATCAAATTCCTTACTGCTTATCAGGCTAGATGAAAGTTGGCATAGTGTTAAAAGCACAAAGTTTACAGTTTGCTATTGTGGCTTTAAAATACTGCCAGCTTTCTCTCCCCCTCCCCTCGCCCTTATCTTGTGTGACTTATATTTGAATTGTGAATTTTTGACCTATGCAGACCACTTCTGTGGCTGTCCTGGTCAGTTCTGGGGCATCCCACATTTCAAAATCCCTGAGCTGCTTGCATTCTTGAAACTCAAGGAAAAGCAGTAGATGGCATTAAAGGGTCCAGTAAGCTCATTCCTTCTCAGATTTGTTTGTGCTGTCCCCTAGGACAGAAACAGAGAATAAGAGTATATCTTCACACTGTAGCCCTTACTTTATTAGTGTATTACATTTGTATGCCACCCCATAGCCCAAGGGCCCTCTGGGTGGCTCACAGGGGAAAAAAAAAACCGATTTCAAGACCCCAGTATGGCTGCAGTTGATTTCAGATCATGAATCAGACAATCTATGCTACAGACACAAGCCTTTATTTATTTAAAGGATCAGGCATTAGCAGAGTTTTCAGGGCAGTTTACAAAAACAACATACAAGTAAAGCATATTAACATACTATCTTTAAATAGTTTATACTTAAACATTTAAACCTGGAGAAATATGCAAAATGGCCTTGAAAAGTTGTCAATATTAGCACAAAGTGAACTTCTCTGAGAAGGGAGAATTCCATAAATGGGGCACCACCTCTGAGAAAGGGATGGCGTATCCTTGGAACCGGACCACCACTCCTCCGTGCCGTCTCCAAGATTATGCCGCCCGCTACAGCGTGTCTTTTCCTGTTGTTGCCCTAGACAAGTGCATGGCTTGGGTTCAGTGCTCGTATCCAACCTGTCAGAAGTGGAGGCGGCTCAGCAGTGACATAGACCCCTCCGTGTTGCCCGAGGACTGGTCCTGTAACCAGAACACAGGTAAAACAGGGCAGAGGCGAGTCGTTCGCGCCAGAGGCTGAGAGATGTTCTGTGGACTCCTCTCATGTCAAACCAAAGTTTATGTAACGACCCAGGTCAGGGTCTTAGGGCCACAGGTTAGCAGTGGTAGAACATGAAAACTGATTCTTTAATGGTTTTATCCAGAGAGGTAGGTGGCCAGACCAGAAAGGACCAGAAGTGACTTTTAAATCAAACCAATTATAAATTGTTATTTACAATTTACAGCAGCTAGGCAGGGAATAAATCTAGGTTTATGAGATGAAAGAATGATAAGCCATCAAAATAAAAAAGCATTATGCAAAAGTGAATGTTGCAAAGACAATAGAAGAGGAAACAGTATAAAAATAAAATAGATGGTAACATGGAGAAATAACAAGATGGAACCACTATTACACGCTAGGATTAAAAAGCACAAAGTATTAAATTCTTACTATCTGAAATGTAACTTTTATATAAATATATAAAATATAATGAATTATATAATACAATATGTAATAACTTTATAAGGGGCCTTCAGAGGCCCCTTCTGACTTGCTCTGTTTCTATGATTCTATGTTTCTGTAATAATAATATTCTGCATGGGTCAGTCTGGCCAAATTCTGCCCTGTAGGCCTATTCATAAATCTCACCATTGCTTGCGTTTCGAGGCCGATGCATTCTTTTCCAGGAGGGCAACTAAATTTTCATTGACATTCCCACATACACACACATACTCAGTATTAAATAGTTTGCTAAAACATTCGTAAAACATGGCTGCACAGTCATTATTGGGCCATACCCATTAATCAAAGTTGTTCTTTTCTCACTGTATAATTAAATCAGAATCAAAAACCAACCATTAGGATCAATAATGGCTTGCTGAATTGAAAACAGAAGTCAGTTTTGGATTGAAATGACTGCTACCCTCTTAAACCTGATTTTGTCGCGTAGACATCGCCCCCCAGTCCCTTGCATTTCCTGTAAAAAAGCCACATCAGTTCTATATGCCTTTAGTTTAGAAAATTTTCTTCTGTTTCATTGGATTCCACAGTTCCTTGACATTCCAAGACTTTAAACATGGAATTATTATAGAAACATAGAAACCGCGCGAGTCAGAAGGGGTCTCCTGGGTCATCTAGTCTGACCCCGGCTCCAGCCGGCTCTGCTCACAGCATGCCCATCATGTGCATGTCCAGCAAACAAACCTATCCAAAAGAGGGAAAGGGCCAAAATTCCTAAAACAGAACAATGTTTTTGTGTGGTGTGGTGTGGTTTTGTATTGCACAATAAAAAGTGAAGTGTTTATTATATCTGTTGCAGATCTTCAGTATAACAACTGCAACATTGCTGAGGAAACGTGGTCAGGATCTGAAAACGAGGTGGTCTATGCCGTATATATTCCTGGGTCAATCGTATGGGCCAAACAATATGGATACCCATGGTAGGAAACGAACCTAATCATATTAAACTTTGTATTCCTTAATTTCATCAGGGTCGTAAGCACCCTTGCCTGGTACAAGTCCAACTGAAATAGGGGAAACATATTTCAAGCTCCAAATAAGAAAGAGAGAACCATAAACTTAACAAAGCCGCTTTAGGAGTTAGGCTGCAGAGATATTACGCTGTGTGGTGGAAAGAAGATACTGACTGGCCAAGCTCCCATGTTGCAGTGAGTCCGAGTGCTTTTGCATGCTGCTCAATCCCTTCCGCTTGACTTCTACCAACTCGAATGGCTCAAAGCAAGCAAGCAAGCAATCAGTCAAACCAAAGACTATCTATAGTTTGTTTAACACAATATCTGCACTGGACTCGGGCTTATTCATCTCCTAGTAAGGAAAAGTCATAAACCAAGTGTTGCTCTTTCAAAGAATTCCAGATTTTCTTTTCTTTTTAAATGGTTTACCTTGGTTTCCAAATGGGGCTGGTATGAGAGCAGTGCATTGCACTGTGCTAAATAGTCTAATACTCTGTTGCCGGCTTATCAGAATTAAATCTGGAGCATAAAACAAATGTCCTGCAACTTGTCCTGCCCTATGCACACGTAAATACAAAATATCTTTGGTTTAAGCCCATGCGAACCTAAAATTTACAAAAAGCCACATTTATATCTGGCACCTTGCAGTCTTTTCAACTGCAAACCTACCTTGTGAGGCTTTGCCAAAGTAGCCAAGTTTTCCTAGCTTGCTTTTGGGTCCAGCAGCTGCAATATTTTGATGGGAAATTGGCCAAGAATGGGACTCAGGCCACAGAAGAAGGGACCCCCGGAAGCAGCCCTTTCTGTGTTGCGCTTACTTAAATGCCCACTATGCACCGAATCGGTATGGAAAAGCTGCACGAGGTACCAGTCCTGATTCTATTTGGCCTTCTGTAGTCTGTGTTTACTTTCAGATTCTTGCGGCTGCGGGCACAGCAGTGCTCCACACAAACCCAGCACGGAACTGGCATCAGAAAACACAGAGTTGTTTCTGCGGTAGCCGCAGAACAACCTGAACTAAAGCCAGCCTTCTCCAACCCGGAGAGTGCTGGGTATTGCAAACTGATGCATCTGACGGGCACAGGGTTGGGGAAGGACTGCCAAAGCGTAAGGTCCAAAGGTTCTTCCATGCAAAGAACCTTGAAGTGCTATATTTCAGCACTTGGCTGGAAGCGTGATCAAAGCAGCTGTTCCCTGAAGCACTTCCTCTAACACTATATGATCCATTAGTGTCCTTCTCTGTTGTAACCAACATGCACACCCACCTGCTGGCTTCACCTGCAGTGGTTTGTGCTTCCTGGGTGGAGCCAAGAATTGGCTGAGAGCAGTACCCACAGTTTCTGGACTAAAGAGAAAGGGAGCACTGCCTGAGCGTGTGCACTAGAAAGGGTTCTTTGTTTCATGTTGTTACAATAAATCTTAGGTTTGTGTGGAAGACAGCTTCATTGTGATTGTTCAGAAAGCAACATACCAGCTTTGGGACACCTGTAGCTAAGACATTCCTTGTTGACTCAGCAAAGTCAGGAAAATTTCCCAGCCACATTTCTTGAAGGCTTATACTCTGTGGAGCTTGAGCCTGTTTTGTTGCTTCCTGATAAGTGTAGGTAGAGGATAAGTGAGGGATACCTTAATTATTTATTATATTTATATTCTGCATTTTCACTAGCATCATAATTGTATTCCTGCAAGCAACCTTTGAGGTAGGTTAGGTTGAGACACACCTACTGTTCAGTATTCAAACTCGGGGGTAAACAGTTTGTGCAATCTACAATTTGCTCGCCATGGAATGAGGGCTTGGGCTGAGGAGAATTGTACAACCAAAAAATCTGGAGGGCCAAAAGTCGCCTACTTCAGTTCTAGCCACCAGTAGTTCCTTGAATAACTTCTCTTACTTATTTGCTACACTTCTACACCACCCAATAACCTGGGTGGTTCACAGCAATTAAAACCATAATGATGGGAAATCTTCAGGAGGCTTTTGACCCACCCTTTACCAGGGCACCTGCTTCTGCAGAGTGTCTTTGCAGAACGGAGGGTCCTTTACACATGTAATTTCCTGGGGCTGTCATGGGCAGGGCTTTTTGGAGAACATCTGTTCACAGGGCTCGCTACACAACGGTAAGGTGGTACTGTGAGATGGTGGTGTTACAGCGTAATTGTGAAAATACGCAAGTTTCTCATAGCGGCCCATCCCAGAATTGGGCAATGACTTTTCTTACTCTGAAAAGAGCTGCAGACATGGGTGGATTGTGCAAAGCACCTGCGTGTTGCCATGAGTGAAAAATCATGAGTACACAATACATGCCTCATGTAGAGAAGCCCACAACACAAACGCTGTTCAAATGTGCAGAGTACAATAGAAGTAAAAGCCCAGGTAAAATCTAGCAACACTGCAAAGTTTTAAAAACACAGTAAAGGATTTAAAACTAGAGAAACTGACAAAGCAAGATTCCCAGGAAAATAGAAAGGCTGTCGGCAGAAATAACACAATGTAGGTACCAGGCAGACTTCTTTCGGAGCCAGTGCAGTGCAGTGCTTAAGAACACAGGACTGGGACTCAGGCCCTCTGGGTTCTAGTCCCTAGTCAAACTGACTGGCTTACTTTGAGCCAGCCACAGACGCTCAGCCCAGCCTACCTCACAGGGTTGTTGTGGTGGGGATAATATTAAGAGCAGCAGGGGAGAATAATGTAACCCACTCTAAGTTCTTTGTAAGAAAAAAGTGGGATAGGAATATAAATAAATAAACAAAGCTGCTACAACTGAAAGGTCTCACTTCTTACCAGCCACTTACCTGCCTTCCTTTGGTCGGGCCTCCCAGAAAAGGACCACTGAGAATGATCCTTGGGTCTGCACAGGTATATGTGTGAGGAGACAGTTCTTCAGTTAACCTGGTACCAAGCTGCTTAGGACTTTGCATGTCAATACTAGCACTTTGAATCAAGCCAAGCACGGACCGGCAGCCAAGGCGGATGATAGAGTACAGTGCTCCATTCCAGTAAGCAGTGTCACTGCCCTATTTTTGATCGGCTGAATTTTCTGGACCATTTTCAAAGGCAGCCTCACATATAACCCACTGTAGTATTCAGAAGTTGGATAACTGTACGTGGGCTGCCTGCCCTGACACAACAAGGTTGCCGTGTCAGCCCAGGCCCATAAAAGATGCTTCATTCCACCAAGTTACCCCGAACCTCTAGCAACCGTTCTGGGTCAAATGTTGCCCCCAGACTACCAACCCGATCTCTGGGGAAGGGCAAGCAGTTCCAGAACAATTTGAATGTCACTTATCCAGGGAGGCAAGCAATCCACTAACAGTACCTCCTTCTTGTCTTACTTGCTCCAATGTCTGTTTCTTAATGTCAAAAGCAAACAGGAGAAAAAATAGTAAGCAAACCCTCCCCATCCTCCGCCTGAAATGTTCACTGGGCAATTGATAGGCTAATACTAGTCCCCTACCTGGATCCAACGGGAAGCAGTATCACAGGCTGAACCTGAAAACCAGAAGTGTGTAAGAGGCACAGCAGCCTTGGAAAGCTTCAATAGTGCTTTGATTGTCCACAGTAGAGAAGATAGAAACATAGAAAACAGAGCGAGTCAGAAGGGTCTCCCGGGCCAAATAGTCTGACCTCCGGCACCAGCCAGCTCCGCTCACGACATGCCCACCATGTGGACGTCCAGCCTGTCCTTGAACACCCGCACCGATGGGGCCTCAGCCACCTCCCGGGGAAGCCCATTCCACACCCTCGGGGTCCTGACTGTCAGGAAGTGCTTCCCAGCATCCCAGTTGAACCTTGGCTCCCTGAGCTTGGCTCCGTGGGAGCGCATCCTGCCTTCCTCTGCAGGGGAGAACAGGTCTCTACCCACCTCCGTGTGACACCCCCTCACATACCTGTATGTCGCCCACAGGTCCCCTCTGAGTCCCCTCTTCTTCAGGCTGAAGAGATCCCGTTCCCTCAGTCTCGCCTCATTCGGCCTCCCCTGCAAACCGGCCACCAACCTTGTGGCCCTGCGCTGCACTGACTCCAACCTGGCTGTATCCTTCCTGTAATGAAGGGCCCAAACTGAGCACAATACTCCACTTGCAGGGGCACTAGAGTTGTGTAGAGTGGTAGTAACACCTCTTTTGATCTAGAAGCCTCACTTCTGACTCTGCAACTCCATTTTATTCTCCTCCCCCTGAAGAAAACAAAACACAACTGCCACCATCAAGAAGATTACAAATCCAGAAAAAAATAAAAGGCAGTGCAGAAAAGCACTGGAATGCAATGGCCTGCAAGTAATGTTGTTCCATAAAAAGTGAACAAAGGACGACAACTTCAGAGAAATAGACTAGTATGGCAGCGATCCACATCTTCCAGGGCCTCTGTGTTTGGCAGTCTCCAAATCCTTCTAAAAAGGTCTTACTTTTGCAGAAGACATGCAGAGGTTTTTTGTTTTTTTTTAAGCACGGCTTGTTTTTTCATCTGCTTAACAATTTTAACCTTCAAAAGATTTTTCCACTAATTTACTTACGAAGGGTGTTGGTCTTGCGTCACTTTCTTCCAGTCCTCCAGGAAGGGTGCCAGTCTTAACAGTCAGCCATCACTTGTTAGTTAAAAGGTGAATGATTTTTACATTTGAGCTCTTTGAAATTTCTCAGGTTAACATGGCATGGAATAACTGCTTTTTAATGGGCTGTTTTCCAAGCATAGATCAGTGCAAGCCGTGACCAGGTGCATATTCATAACTGTTTTTGTTTTGCTCTTCCTTGTGCACATGCTTGTAGGTGGCCTGGGATCGTAGAGGCTGATCCTGATATTGGAGAGTACTTCCTGTTTTCTTCCCAGACAGATTCGCTTCCTGTTAAGTATTACGTATATTTAGTATCATGTGCAAAATGTGAGTGGGATTGCATGTGAGCGAGATCCCTTTGAACAGCTTTCTTCATCTCAGAGGCGACACGGTCGCGCTACACCGCAGTGCTTATTTAACACGTGTCCATATGCTGCCTCTCTTATACACAGCTATTCACAAGAGCTCACAGCTGCTGTGCTTCCTTTCCCGTTTCAGTCCAAGTACCATGTGACCTTTTTTGGCAAGACCGTGACCCGGGCTTGGATCTCTGCCTCCCTGCTGAGGAACTTTGGTGAAACAACTGTGGAAGGAAATGGTTTGGTAAGGGGGCTTTTGCTCAGAACACTTACCAATAGCAGAAGGTGACTCAAGCACCAGGAAACTGTGGGTACCTCAGAGTGCACGATTAAGAGGAGATTTTAGAAAGTGAACACAGAAAAGTTTCAGAGAACAGCTAAGAGAAGTGAAAGCAGAGGCAGCCAGCATTGCTTATGTATCAGTAGGTACACGATGTAGGGTTTTTATGTTCCAGGGAGCACTTTATTCTTCCCAACGTCCTCTGACTGTAGGTATAAATGCACAACAGCCACTGTGTCAGCTGCTTTGGCCCTGAGAGTGCTGCAAATTCTTCCGGCGTTCCCTTAGCTCTTCTTAGAACTACAGTTCCCAGGGTTCCATGGGTAGGAGCTAGTTACATGTTTAAAGTGTACACACGTGTGCAAAAAGTGAAAAGGTCATTTATGTTTGGGTATGAGATGTGCTGAACGAAGCAGCACACCCTAGTTCCCCGAATAGGTGCCAGCTGGATATGCTCTGCGTTTCCTCTTTCAGGCCAAGCTCAAGAGTAAAGGTGACAAGAAGAACCTTGAAGCTGCTCTGATGATGGCAAAAGAAGCAGCGCAAATAAGCATTCAGGTGCGACTAAGGACAGGCTCCAACCCTCTGAGGTTACCTAGGCTGCTTTCATATTAACCCTTTTCCTGGAATAATTGTCATTATTTTCATACCTTTCATAGTGAATCCATCTGGCAAGTCCTTGCCAGATTTCTTAGTTATCCTCTCCTATTTCTTCTGGCCTAAGTTGTGTGTATATTTTTGCAACAAACTGGAAATTGCAGTGCCACTCTGTCGAGGGTAGACTAGCAATAAACCACAGAGGATCTTCAGGGAGTGGAATCTTCTCCTTGAAGATCCCTTTGATTGTCTCTCCATTATCGAATTCTGTTGTGCGGCTTGGGGGTTCATGATGCATTTGCCCCTGAAGTAGTGAGTGTCTGTTCCTTGTGATGGAGAGCAGAGAGGAGGAAGAGACATTAATTACCGGTTTCCTTTCATTATCATATTTTCTTTCAGCACCAGACGTTCAGAGGATGATGGCTGGCAACTTAGCAAGCACTGCCTATGCGCAGGTCTCCATTCATTTATTTGGAGCTTGCGTGGGGGAACTTGTGCAGCGTAGAACTTCCGGTCCTTGCTGCCAGCAGATTATTGATATCATCATCATCATCATCATCATCATCATCATCATCATCATCATATCACATTTACACCCTGCATTTTTTCCTCTTGTGAGGAGCCCAGGGCAGCTGACATAGCTCCATTTTGTCCTCACAGCTGCGAGGGAGGCCAGGCTGAGGGAACGTAATTGGCCCAAAGCCGCCGAGGGGGATAGAACCCAGATTCCCCCGTTCCCAACACTTTTGCCGCCACACTGGTTCTCACATTTAAATAGCAATGTGGCCAAGACTCTTCTTTCGCTTGCCAAGAAAACCCCACTGTAGGGTATTTTCACAAAGTTCCCAACGTACATAATGCCAATGTATAGCAGGTGGGCCTGGCTTACCTACCTACAAGCATTTGCCTCAATTCATCCTACCTGATGTAGGTCCAACTGTGGGGAAGAGGTGTTTAGGTTCGAGAGAGACAGTTTGGAGAGAAAGATCCTGATCGAAGGTAACCAGGGTTCAGTTGAGCAAGTCAACTAAGTAATTCAGTTAAGCCCAGTTTTCATGTTGGGATCTGGCGTAAGAGAAGAATGACCTTGAGGCTGCTCAGGGTACTTTTTATGCAAGGCAACGTGGATAACCAGCTCCCAAAATGTGTGGCTATTTCCAGACAGAGGGCTCTTAGCTCTACAAATCAGAAGGCTTCATGCAACAGTCCCATCTTTTTTTTCTTAGCAGTTTTTCTGTCTGGAAAAACCCTGGGATTAGAGCAAGGGCATCCAGGAGACAACAGCCACACTTCAACAATCTCAGCTTAGAAATTAAGGTCCACAGACTGCTCTATGTGTCTTTACCGCATTAGCGTGCCAGTATTTCTTTTCTTTTTCACTGCACCAGGAAAGAATAAGGATATTTGGATTCCGCAGCCGATTCAGCAGAAAAGAGCCACCCAAAGATCACAAAGATGTAAAAGGTAGCTTGAGTGCTGTATTGAATCCGAAGTAAAAATGGAAGGCCATTTCCAGACATGGTGTTTATGTTTATGAGACCTCCTGCCTCACTTGGACCCGATGGCCTTCATGGCCCCTTCCAATTCCACTATTCCATGATTCCATTTACAGAATTCTGTGGGGAGTCTGGGTGTCGTCGTTCTCCACTTCCCAACTTTTCCATGTTTTCTCAGTTTTTCCAGTTATTTTTCGTGTCACAAAGTATCTTTTAAGAAAGTGGAGATGGAATCACTGCAGGAGGTCTTCTGACTGGTCAGGCTGGGAACTCTGCATGAGGAAGCACCCTGAAAAGCAGGGTCCCTGCCTAGGAGTGCCTCACGGCCTCGGCCTCTTTTGTCTCGTAGCTGCTGCTGCCCTGGTTACCTGCAAGCCTCAAGCCAAGAGGACCCAAAGGCCGTTGGATGGGAACAAGAACTCGGCGGCCTCAAGCAGGAGTCAAAATAAGGTTGGCTGCGAGGGGTTCCGTCTTTGCAGTGGTAGAAACACTTAAGCACCACGCCTTCTGAGGGGCCTCGTGCAGGGGACCCTCATGCACTATCCCACCAGGCTGACGGAAAGAGGCTTCCACAGAAGGTAGACGTGCTTTTCCATTCACGAGCGGCATCTGTCTTCCAGCTTCCTCCTGGCGCAGCAGTGAAGAAGCAAGATGGAGGGGTCAGCAAGAAAGTCAGCGTGCACGGTGAGTTTCTGGGGAGCACAGCAGGCCTCTCACCCACCGTCTAAGCTGTGTTCCATAACCTTGAGTGGCCCCAGGCAAGCCTGGGCTACTGGGGTTTACCTGAGTGGTAGAATCGTAGTTTATAAAAAGAAGAAGAAGAAGAACATATATTCAACCTGTTCATGCAGGGAGTAGAAAACACAAGTTAACATCTGAAGCCTCCACTTCTTTGTTGAAGAAGAGCCAAAGAGACATTCAGCCTCCCAAAACTGCACCTGTGCCAAAAGGTTCTGGCAAGGCAAGGAGACCTCATAGCGACCAGAAAAGTAAGAAAAAGAACCCTGGGTTGTTTGCGCAGGTATGTTTTTGGGAACACATCAACCAGGCAATAAGCCCAGAAAGATCTTTCTAAAACACACCTAGGAACAGAGTCCTAATCTGTGAAACACTGTATTATAATTGGTTTGCCACCAACAAAGGGAGGCCACTGAAAGAATAATTTAAATGCATATGCTGGTGCAGGCCAAGGATCCATCTAGTCCACCATTCCGTTTGCGGCTCTGCCTGTGCGAGAGCCCCAGGCAGATGCGGGAGCCGTAGGGGCTGAAGCGGCTCGACATTCTCTTAACGGGGAGGCAGTGTGGCAGGGTCTGTTCCACACCGGGTAACTGTTTCTCCTCTAGAAGACTATCACTGGTTTCTGTGTTCCTTTCAAGGTTTTAAGAAACCGTTCTCTGTGCCACAGTGTAGGAATATCAAAGCTGAACGCGCCAGTTCTTGTGCAAACAGCAGCACCGCTAGCATAGTGTCACCCAGTTATGCAAGCAAGAAAGACAGTTCGAACGAGGCCATGGCAGAAAGCAAACCGATGTTGAGCCAGGGCAGTGTGATCCTTGAGGAATCAAATGGTGTTGCGGCAGTGGAAAAAGATGAAGAGGAAATCTTCAGCAGCCAGGAGATGTCTGTCTTTGCCGAGGAGAAAGATTATTCCCCGGAAGACTTTTCCTTGGTCTTGTTTGAAGAGTAGCTGTTCAAATGAAGGTGAGCCCCCTCGTCCCGCCATGGAGAGAATGGGCTCCTCCTTCCTCCATAGCTGACTGCGTATGCTGATCCGTAGCACGGAGGCGCAACCCTTGATAAGCATAAATGGCACCAGAGTGGGAGAGTAGCAGGGACCATGGAGAGGGGCCATTTACAGTTCTGGTTCTTGTGCCTCATCCACCTAGGAAGTTGGTGACTATTTGTTTTTAAACAAGATTGTGACGTTGTCTCTTTCTCTGTTCCATGATTAAACAAGCTACTAGAAACAGCCATAAACAAGGCATGGAAAATAACTTCACTCCCCAGTAACTTGACTTGCTTAATGTTTAGTTTAAAAGAGAAGCCAAACAAAACAGCAATAAAAATGTATGAGATTTCTGGGGATTGCTTTGCCCTAATGTATAAGTTGATAATTCTCTTGTTTGTCTTAAGAAGTACAGCTTTTTTCCTACTGGTTGTTTTGTTACAATTTGGCAAGACTTTTATTAAAGTCCAGTTTGGAGCTGAGCAGGGTGTCTCCATTCAGTTTTACTAGCACCACAGATGCCAGGAGCATGCCTGCACACTTGAACGTACACTAATTTGACAAAAAGAGAGAAAACAGATCCACCACTCAAATCCAGACACGTTGGTTAGAGTCACTTGTGCAAACACGGACAGTGGGTTGATAAGGTGTTGCCTGCAATGAAGATGCTAACACAATTGTATTGGAAAACTTTGAGAGATGAGTTACAAAGGCCTTTGTTTATCAGCAAGTCCAAATTAAAGTTTTTCCAGCGCTGTTGTAGTGCTTATGTTGGTCTATATCGCATACACACAACACTAAGTATTCAGGCCCTTCCAGACAAGGTGTTGAACGTGCAGTTGCCCTGCCTCCTTCATGGTGTTTTATGGGGTTCAGACATAGTTGTCAGCCACTTCTAACACTCCCGTGCACTTTTTTCCAGCATCAGGTTGTGGAGTGCTCAGTAAGTTGTTCGAGGCACAGAGACCCCACCAGGTGACCCTACCAGGTAGCTTGCTATCTCAGGGTTGTTGTGAAGATAACATGGGATGGGAGAAGCAAGCATACCTCCTTGCGCTCTATCGAGGAAGGGTGGGATACGTGTAATAGAAACAATGTAACAGTAACACTCATGACACTGATGTTTGCTTAAAAATAAAAACACCTAAACTGCTTTGTTTACCAAGCTAATTTGCCGCCAAATTGAAATCCCCTTCATCTGAACCTACTGAACATCTAGCTATTAGGCAGAGAAAACGTTAAGAGGAAGACAGAAGTTGTTAATTGTGTCCCGTCTCAATTAGGTCTTCACCCTGGTGTCCTGGCCACACACCAAGGTCCAGAACTGTTCTGCTTCTGCCACTTAACAGTTGATAGAAAGTTCCAGAATCCACATATGACTTAAGTGGTCCAGGTGCATTGGCATGAGCTGTATCTTGAACAATTTCGCTGTAAGTAATTCCCTATGTAATCTGCTTTCACAAAATGAGGGGGCACTGAAGGAGTCGAAACACAATGGCAAGTCTTTCTGTATCACAGCCAGACATCTGTCAATGAGTGTCCCTTATTTAAAGATTTGAGAGGTGGTCCCAGTAACCAGTGAAGGAGGCCAAGGTGACTGTTGCGCCTAAGCATTCTGCCACGATTACGTTGAACAATTTTTCCTCCCTCATTTCAGGGAACCGTCATAGAATTTCCCAATGCCTTCGCCTTTACAACTTACCCCCCTCTTCCATTATTTCTTTGTTACAGGAAAAGTGTAATTGTTCAAAAATGCTTTTCTACAAAGCAGGAATTAACTAACTTGATCTGCATAATTATTCTGATCAGAAGATACGGGGTTTTTTGGTCATGTGTTGTCATTTTCTTTTGGTGGGGACATGGGAAGGTGCAGCTTATAGAGTACACAGAGAAAACGTAAGATTGTCCTGGAAAGGCTCACTATGGATTTGCTCATCTGGAATTTTCAGATAGGTGAAATGGCTCTGGCTTGGAGTATCTTTGCCTGTCCAGGGTGCGCTTGCACTGGGGAATAGCTGCATGATTTGTCTTCCCGTAACAACAGAAAAGCCATGCTATGTAGACCAGACCAAGGACCAGCATCCTGCTCGCATTGGCAGACCAGCTGCCTGCAGCAAGTACACATGCAGGGCAGGGATCCCCCAAATGCCGTACGTAGATCTAGCACCCCCGAAACTGCAGGCAGCATAGAGCCGCTAGCAGGAGTGGCCGCTGGGAGTCTTCTCGTCCGCGAATAAGTGCAGTCGCGTTTTAGAGCTGGCCGGACCGGCAGCCCCGCTGCATCCCTTGGAACTGGATCCCGTAGTTGAGCTATGCACTGTGGGCAGGAGTGCTTTTTACCTGTTCTCAGTTTCCCACCACTCGGCATTACAGGATGGCCCTAGGTTCTCATGTTAATAAAGAAGGGAAATGTCTCCCCATCCACTCGCTCCACACCAGACATAATTTTGTACACTTCTGATGGGTTTCCCCTTAATCACTTTTTTTCTGAGCTAATCAGTCCCAGAACTGATTGCACATTTCCCGTTCGGGGATTTGCTCCAGCCCCTTCATCATGTTGTTTGCCCTTCTCTACACATTCTCTACCTCTACAGTATTCTTTCTTTTAAGATACAGTGACTGGAACTGCACACAGTATTGTACTGTAGTCGCCACATTGATCTGCATAAGGGGAATATGATCTTAGCAGTTTTTTCTCCAGTTCTGTCCTGAAAGAAATATGCCGGCACAGGAGTTGCCTTTTTCACAAGCATCCAACACCAGCCAGTCCAGGATCACCCGAGATTTCTTTCTCGGTCAGTTAACACCAGCTCATATCCCATCTTAAACCTTAAGTTGGGTTTGGTGGGGTTTTTTTGTCCCAGCATGTATTAATTTACACTTGGTTGTGCTGAACAGTACGCATCATTTTGATGCCCAGTCTCTCAGTTTCGAAACACCCTTTGGTAGCTCCTCACGACAACTTTTTCTTTAACTACCATAAATAATTTGGTGTAAACAACAGACTTGGACACTTCATTGCTCCCTGCTAATTCCAGGTCATTTATGAGTAAGCTGAAAAGTATTCGACCCAATGCAGATCCCTGTGGGACCGCACTGTTTATATCTTTCACATGGAAGAAATTTCCATTTACTCTCTGTTCCGTTAACCAGTTATTAATCCACGAGAGTACCCCTGCTGTTCTTTCATGACTACTAAGTTTACTCAGAAGTCCTTGATGAGGGACTTTGGCGAAAGCCACTTGGAAGTCCAAGGAAACAATGGCTATTGTTTATTGACTCTCTCAAAGAATTCCGCAACAAGGTTAGTGAGACAGGATTCCCTTTTTGAAAGCCGTGTTGATTCTTTTTCACGGTGGCTTGTCCTTCCATATGCTTACTAATTCTATCTTTAATAATGCTTTCAAGCAATTTACCTGAAACAGACATTAAGCGGAGTGGCCTGTAATTTTCTAGATGCCCCTGGATCTCTTTTCACAAATTGGTGTTGCATTGGCCAGTCTCCAATCCTCTGGTCACAGTCTGGACTGAGAGACATGGGCATATTTTTGTTAGAAGTTTAACAGTTCCTTATTTTTCAGAATTCTAGGGTGGATCCCATCTGGGCCTGGTGATTTATCACCATTCAACCTGTCAATAAAGTCGGTAATTTTACCCTTGGCACCACACCGTCCCTCAGACTTCCTTTGTTGAAAACATCAGTTCAGGCACAGGTGTATGTTATATGACTTCAGCAATGAATACATACAGATGAAAAAAGTGTTCCCTTTCACAGTCTCCTTATCTTCTCCCATTGTTGTCCACTGGTCCAGCTGTCTTCCTAGCGGGCTTCCTGCTTCTGGTTTATTTAAAGAATTCCTTATTTGGGCCTTGATCTTACTAGCAACATGCTCCTCAAAATCCCTTTGGCATCTCTTGTCATCCGTTTGCACCTCCTTTGTGCAAGCGCACGGTCACTTGATTTCTTCAGTTAGGCGAGACTTCATGTGCTGAAGGAACCCTCCTCTTCTCCAATTGTTCCCTCAGCCTGGCTTACTAACCATGCCGGACTGCTTTTCCTAGCCTTTGGAATACATTCTAGCTGAACGCTATTGTGGTCTAGAGTAACCACCAAGTATTTTGAAGGGTGTTAACTTCTTGACTGCCCCTTCCAACTGCCCTTTTTAAAAACCAGGTCTATCATTTTAGAGACGTTTCTTCTTTTGAAATTGAATGTGACTGTGTTGAACTTCTCTGGCAATTTTCCACTAAAATATATAACAAGAGTAAAATATATATTAATTCCCTGTATGACTGGAATATACATTTATCTAGGCAGCATGGGGATAACTGAAGTCATCGGCTTCCTTCTGGACCACCCTGAACATTCCAGTTTGGTAGAGAGTTATGTTTCCTAGCACTGAATTAGTTCTGGACCCTGGTATTGTCACCCGCAGGGGAAGTTTCTGTGGAAGAACCTGCCTCCGATAGGTGTTCTGCTCTGCTCTGCTCCACAATGGGAGCAACACCTCCCAGTAGTACTCAGAGAGCTTGTACCCAGGATGCCTCTCCCCTTTCTATACCGTGCTCTTCACATGGCTCTCCCTTGAACTTTCCCACATTGGCTCGGAGGCATCCAGTGTTGCACAGGAGCGTTCTCCAGATCCATCCTCTGCTCTGCGACCGACTGCCGGGTTTCTCCATCGGCTCGCGGCCTCTCTCCTCCCTTCCCGTGGTTGGGCAACTGGAAACATTTCCATCTTCATCATCCCACGTGGATGCCTTCCAGCTCTTTTGGCTTTTCCCCAGGGCTCAGTTTAAAAGTTTCTCCGCTGCCTTTTTATGCTTCGCGCCAGCGGTCTGTTGCCATTTTGGTTCACAGTGGCTGCCTCTAAAGGACGCTTCCCCAGCCCGTGGCGTCTGGCCTGGCCACGGTCTTGACCCAAAAAGTCAGTTCACGAAGCCCCCGCCACCCCTCTCTGCCGCGCGCCCTTGAGGGTTCACCCAAGAGGAAGACACAGAGCCACAGCCCTGAGGGAAGCGGCACTCTGCCCAAGGTTATCCAAGACATCGCCATGAATAGAACTCCCCCCATTTCCTGACTTCCCGGCATCCACAGCCGGTCTGTGCAGTTTGCCGCTCACTCGATTCATGACTGGGCAGAATACTTCCACTCGGGATTTCAGAGCAATTCTCTCTTCTCACCCATTTGCAAAATATTTAGTTAACAGCCCATGCCTTTTTCTCTCTACTCTTCTTTTTTCCCCACCACCTCCTCTTACTGTGGAAATTTCTTGGCTAAATCGCTGGCGTTCAACTGGTAAAACACAAAGGTGCCTTTAAATTTGGAAGAGGATGAAGCAGGCAGAGAGAGAGAGAGAAACCAAATTATTTGAAGTGCATGCAGCATTTTTGCAGTGTGAATCAGCATTTGGCTCCAGCAGCCTGTGAATTTCAGGCCGATCCCCCTAGTCTGGTGTTGAGCAATACTCCTATCTGTGGCCAGTTGGCCTGAGCGAGGCGAGTCCATCCCATCCCAGTGTTTTTTCCACGGCCAGGGTCTCCTTGGGCAGAACCCTTTACAAGAGCCCTGGGGTGTTTCGACAGGCACCATTTGCTTCTTCCGTCTCCTCTCCCTTTGACTCAAAACACTTAGAAGTATTTAAGCGCTCATTCGGGAGAAAGAGGATGGAAACAAAATTCAGAGTCTGAAAACTTTGCAGACAATGCCAGCGGGGCAGTATCAACACCATCCAGTGAGGGAGAGCGGGAGAGAGAGCAAGTCCCCCCCCCCCCGCACACACACACAGAGGCTGGGCCAGAGGCCTGCTGACCATGGGAGAAAGGTGAGCAGCATATCTGAAAGATGCCAGCTTGCAAAAGGATGCCTTAAGGCGATGACTGTGGACGTGAGGCGCTGGGTAGACCCCCAAGGCAGTCCCTGCCTTGGGGGTCTACCCAGCCCCTCACGTCCGCAGGTCCACAGCATAGTCATCACTTGGGAAGCACAAGCAGAACATGGCCAGCTCCTGATAAGCCTCGGCCCGTGGATCAGGCGCCTTGAGGAGGAGGTCAAGCGCATCCAGCGGGAAGGGCTGGGACTCGGGATCCTTGTGGCAGGGAGCCGGCGGGCGCGGGAGAGCCACGCAGCGGGGTGGCGGTGGTGCTGTGGCCCCCTGGCTGGCTCGCAGGAAGCCTGGTGGGCCACAGTGCGTGGCAGGGAGCCGGGTGAAACGGGCTGCTGCGAGGGGTAGCAGGTCTCATCCCCAAGAGGAACGTGAGCCGAGGCCTTGTCTGTCTGTCTGTCTATTAGATTTCTATTCTATCCTGCCCTTTAGCCAAAACCCTTTAGCCAAAACGACTCTCTGGGTGGGTTACAGGACGCCACAGAATACATAATAAAATAGATAATATTAAATTAACAACTATAACAAAATCAGCAAACAAAGCCCTGCAATAAAATCACACAATAGCCTGGACTCCAATCCAATAAAAACATAATAAAAGACACAACAGCACTAAGATGTAACCAATACCGTAAAATGCCATTAAAATTTTGACCATTCGAATACTGGGTAAATGAAAAGGCCTGCACCTGGCACCGGGGAGAACAGGGAAGGGGCCAAGCGAGCCGCTGTGCGGAGCGACCCCCGAGCGGGGTGCCATGGCCAAGAAGGCCCTCCCCGTAGCCGCTCTCCCGCTTTCTTCGGAGGGGCTCTTCGGGAAGGGCCAGCGAGGCACGGACGGGCGAGGCGCTCGGCTGGATGGCCTGGAGCGCGGAAAGGCCTCCGAGGTTTGGGCAAAACGCCCGAGGCGCGCGCAGGAGAGGCGCAACAGGCCGCGGGTGCACCGCTCCTCCCGAGCACGGCGCAGGAGCGCACCGTCTTTTCGGCCCACGGGGCTCCTGCGCAGGCCGCACGCCGGGCTCCCGCCGGGGCGGGCAGGGCCCCGCACGGGAACCCCGGCCCGGGTTCGCGGGCATCCGCGGGGATCGCTGCTGCGCCGCCCGCCCGGCGCTTGCACACCCCGCACGCCAGCCCGTGTCACCGTCAGCGGGCGCCCCCCGGCGCCCCCGCCCCGGCCTTCCCTCCCTCCGCAGGTGCTGGGCGAGTGCGCCGGCCCTGCTGACCCCCTGGCAGCGCCGCGCGGGCCCGGGGCCGAGAGGGCCTCGCCGCCAAGGCCAAGGG